GGCCCGCCTCCTAGTTCCTTGTATAATTGAGATTTGTAGCCCGTCTTTATACATCATATATACATGCCTATGCACGAAGAACAATACACCGTGCTATTCACATATTCTACACCAGAAACTCCTCCCAGAACCACTCCATCTCAGATTGAATGGCTCGTTCAAAAAGAAAAAGAAAATAAAAATGGAATGGCTCGTGGCTGTGGAAGCACCTGATATCTGCGAGCTCGTGAGCAGATAATAAGTGGGCGCGGTTCGGCCACCCGGCACATGGAATCGGTCAAGTGAGAGGGCTTCTGAATTTATTTGTACGTGTTTTCAGTTTTCTGCATTATGGTAGGGTACACGCTATCGATAGATGGATTTCTGATTTGCCATTTTTTGCTTCTCTATGAAGATCGAATTTTGTTTAGAGATTTTGTCGGATAATGAACACAATTCTTGTCGACACGGCATACACAATTTCTTTTCAAAATTTTCATAACATTTTCGGCATTGGTAGCACCCATAGTGCGTGTAGTGTAGCTAAGGCACTAAAGCTTGTCGCGGTATGGCTGGTTGTCGGAGAGCATGACACAATCTCCACTAGTGGATCGGTGAAAAACAGGAAAGACTGAAGAAAAGAAAAACGGGAAAGACAAGTCATGTGTGTCCTCCAGGAAGAAAGAGACTGGTGGACAGCTGCATTTCTCCAACCAGCTAGATAATCTGTGACTCCGCTATATCCGTCGTTGTTTATTTCTAATTTTAATTGAAAACAGAGACATACGATTTGCTTCATTCGTTAGTTAAGAATAGAATTGAGCTTGTTTATTTTACAAGTGTACTACTTCGTATAAGAAACAAATTATTACATCTTCCAATATTATTTGGTGCTACTCGGTCCGTAAAGACATATAAAAGCATAATAATCTAAACGCTTTTATATTTATTTACGGTGAGAGTAGTTTCTTCAGATGGTCGCTACAGTACCAGTCAACAAATGCTCTTCTCCTCCGAGAAAAGAAGAAGAAATACTCTGCTCCAGTCAACCTCTCCCACCAAACCTGTTCATACAGACCAGTGGTAGTCACAGGTAGACGGAGTGCCATGGCAAAGCCCCACCACCACCGGCGCCTCGCCAGCGTCACCACCACCACCCTCCTCCTCCTCGCTGTCCTTCATATCGTACGCACCGCCGCCGAAGACGAACAGCCTCCATGGCCAATCTGCGGGCCCGAACCCTCCAGTGGCAATTATCCGCAGAACAGCACCTACGACACCAACATCAATCTTCTCTCGGCCAGCCTCCCCAGAAACGCCTCCTCGTCTGCTGCGTTCTACGCCACCGGAAACGTGGGCGATGTGCCCAACATCGTCTACGGCCAGGCGCTCTGCCGCGGCGACGTTGCTAACGCCTCCGCCTGCGAGAGCTGCGTCGCGACGGCCTTTGGCGGTGCGCAGCAGGCGTGCCCACTCTACAAGGACGTGGTGATCTTCTACGACCTCTGCCAGCTCCGCTTCTCCAACCGCAACTTCCTCCTCGACGACGACTACATCGTCACCACATACTGGCTGCAGCGGTCGCGGCTCGTGGGCTCGCCGGCGTTTGATGGCGCCGTCGGTATGCTCGTCAACGCCACCGCGGACCACGCGGTGGGGGACTCGTCCAGGCGGTTCGGCACGGGGGAAGTGGGCTTCAACGACAGGAGAAATCCCAAGATTTACGCGCTGTCGCAGTGCGCGCCGGACATTACGCCGGAGGTCTGCCGGAACTGCCTTAACGCCATAATTGGGCAGCTTCCGAAGTGGTTCAGCCGCATGACAGGCGGGGGGATTTTCGGGGTGTGGTGCAACTTCCGGTACGAGGTGTACTCTTTCTTCTCCGGCCGTCCGCTGGTGGAGCTTCCGCAGATTGTAGAGAGGCCGCCTGCTTCCGCGCCACCGGTGATACCAGGAGGAGGTGAGTTGGCTGTACGAATCGAAACACAATTTAGAGAGAAACAAAACATCATCTGTTAGTGCATTTAGTTTGTTCTGTAATTAATTATGCAATCTGAATTTTACTGGTTGTTTGATGTGAAATTACGTGCACATCTAAGAATATGCAACTAATTTCTTGAACAAATGATTATGTCTCTAGGAACAAGAGCGTGGAATCACATTTCGATTTCCTGTACAACAGGAATTATATGAGCAGTGAAAAAAAGGTCCTGATATAACTTTTGGATCCGTTAATAGTAATACTAGTTTTGTTCATATCTCCTTAGGAGTCATGCATGGCTTCTTCTTAGTACTTGAGATATTAGTTATAGAGTTGTTTGACCCGAAAGACTATATTTCATTTTATATACAGATTTGCTAATTCTCATCTAGACGGAGAATTAACAATGTCGCATCAATCTTGTATACTATTTAACTAATATAATTAAAAAAGTAAAAGGAAAAATCCACACACATATTCACGTAATATCAAATGATATATGAGTTAGATGTGGCATAACTATGTCACATCTAGATGGGCCCACTCATTTATATATATGTGCAAACTCACTACTAACTATTTTCCAGTGTAAAGCCTATTTTCCAGTGTAAAGCACGTACAGAAAGAACATTAGCCTTCAATCTTGCAAACGGTTTGTGCAATTTGAAATTTACAAGGTTTTCTTATTGAAAAATCCTGCAGCAAAAAATACAAATATATGTGCTACAAGATTCCAGTTAATGTTTTAACTAAGAAGTGTACCTTCTGAATTGATGTCATTTATTTACTTGCAGAGAAAAGGAGAAATAGTACAGGTAAAGTTGTAGCTATTCTGATGCCTACAATTGCTGTGATGTTGGTCATCGCCGTGGTATACTTATTCTGTTGGAGGAGGAGACGACCAGAAGAAGATGCGTTTCTACCTTGTAAGGCCTCTTAGGCATTTTAAATTATCATGTAATCGCCAGTCAAGTGATTAATCAATCGATTATCTATGAGATGGTGTTTTGTTTAGTTAATACCAAAGATGCCTCTAGATTGGAACAAAATTGTATTTCTTGAAGAGCTCGAGGTCTTGTTTTTCATCATTGTATACTTATTCTCCAGCACAATCCGCTACCTCAAATGATATTCAACCCATCGATTCGCTGCTTCTTGATCTAGCAACACTAAGAGTTGCCACAGATGACTTCGACAACAGCAAAATGCTTGGGAAAGGAGGCTTCGGTATAGTTTATAAGGTACAGAATCATACCTTATGTAGCTTAAAGTATATGGTATAGCTTATCAACTATTATTTTTCTGCAGAGGACTAAGTATCTTTACCTTGACAGGGAGTCCTACCTGATGGTGAAGAAATAGCAGTCAAAAGGCTTTGTCAGACTTCCAGACAAGGAATAGGAGAGTTGAAGAGTGAACTGGTTCTAGTTGCCAAGCTTCACCACAGGAATCTTGTAAGACTTGTTGGTGTTTGCTTGGAAGAACAAGAGAAAATACTTGTGTATGAATATATGCCCAAGAGAAGCCTTGATACCATCCTTTTTGGTAAGAATTTCTTTTGTTTTGAAAGTTTAGTCATGTGACTGAATAGTAAAGTTTATGCTACAATGATACTCTTGTTTGAATCACAGATTATGAACAAAATAAAGAGCTGGATTGGGGAAAGAGATTCAAGATTATCAATGGAATCGCTCGAGGCTTACAATACCTCCACCAAGATTCTCAATTGAAGATAGTTCACCGCGACCTCAAAGCAAGCAATATACTACTAGATTTCGATTACAATCCAAAAATTTCAGATTTCGGTTTAGCAAAGTTATTCGGAGGGGATCAATCAGAAGATGTGACAAGTCGTATCGCCGGCACATAGTAAGAATATCAACTATATTTCTCTGACAAGGCAGCAAAATGTTTTAATGAGGTTCTAAAGTTCTGTTTTTTTTTCTCAAAGTGGATACATGGCGCCGGAATACGCCATGCGTGGTCAGTATTCCATCAAGTCAGATGTGTTCAGCTTTGGCGTCTTGGTCTTAGAGGTCGTCACTGGAAGAAGAAATGATGCATCACATAACATCGAGCAAGACGTCGATCTCGTGAATCTTGTGAGTACCTGAAGCCTGTTCATAAACTCTGAAAGCAGGTAGACTTTGAAAACAATATTGAATATGCCTACCATATTTGCTGCAGGTATGGGAGCACTGGAACAGGGGAAATGTCATCGAGCTGATCGACCCCTCCCTGTGTAACCATCCTCCGGTCGACCAGATTCTGAAGTGCATCCACGTCGGGCTCCTGTGCGTGCAGAGGAAACCGGCGAGCAGGCCCACGATGTCGTCGGTAAATATCATGTTCAGCAGCCACACTGTCCGTCTCCCTTCTTTGTCGAGGCCGCCATTCTTCATCCAGGATATCAGTGTCAGTGAAAGCTGGACTGCTCATTCAGATGCATATCCACCAGGAGAAAATTCAACTGTGATGTCTTCCAACCAAGTGTCCATCACGGAGCTTTCGCCAAGATAAATCCTGAATATTTGGAACTTGTTTGCTGAACCAGAGATGTGCAGTTCTGTTATGACGGAAATAGAGTATTTTAATTTCTGGAAATGATTTTGGTGGAGAAATAAGGCCCTGCTGCATCGGCCGGTATTAAATAATCTTGGCATTCTGGACGTTAGTAGAACTCTTAAGCTGCTATGGATAGGGATTGCAACAAGTAGGAGTGTGTAACACAAGTCATAGTAATACAGATGAATGGCGTGATCGATTTAAAAAATGTAAATTTTGCTGTGAAAGCTCTGCCTTCTCTACTAAAACCACTGATTGTCTGTTTAAATCACGTTAGACAAGACAACTGCCACATGATTCTTTTACTACTACACTTGACTAATTTTTCATGTTAAAAAATACAAAATATGCATTGTGCAGTTTTGAACAAATTTGGGTCAAACCACTTCTAGAAATAAATATCAAATTAAACCAAAGTATTAAATAGCGGGCCAAGCGTTAGCATTCTAAATTGGCGCTAAATGATGCTAAACGACAATGCAAATCAAATGTTGCCGATATATTAAGCACTATACCTTAATGCACTAAAGTGTGGGCACTAAAGCCCCCCCCCCCCCTTAGTACCGGTTCAGCACAAACCGGTGCTAAAGGGCAACCACGTGGCACGAGTCAGCTCTGGGGCAGGGAGCCCTTTAATACCGGTTGGTGACACCAACCGGCATTAAAAGGTTAGGGGGGTTTTAGGTTTATGATTTCTTTTTCATTTAATTTTGTATTTTCCA